GCCGCAGCCGCAGCCGCCGCAGCCGCCGCAGCCACAACCTGCAAACTGTTACAAGTTACAACACTCTTTCCGTCTTATCCTCAGAACTGCTGTGACCAGGCGGGTGGACCTTCACTACAGAACCTTGGAAATTCTGTCAAAAGGTGAGCAAGGCTCTTGAGTTGGTCTCGATTGCAGCCCTGAGGTAACCGTGGTCAGCAGATTTATGGATTCAGCAGGTGCCTCCACAGCAGCCACCGCAGCTGCCCATTCCTGCACTTGTTGTTCGGACGAGTTCAATCCGGCCGGCGAATTCCGCTCCGCAGGCCTGCACCCATTGCACTGCCCATGGTATTGCCCATGGCACTGCCCATGGGACCCATGCCTGTGCCGACAAGTGCTAAGTACTGTACGCTTTTGACTGGATTCCGAGAAAGCGCCTCCTCCCATGGGCTTGTTCGGAGCGGGAGGCTGAGCAGAAGCCTGCGAAGTTCCAGAGCCGAGGTTCAGGTCCTCAGTCAGAACATGCAAGCGAGCATCTGGAGTTGAGCTTTCTGAGGTTGCTGCCAAGAGCTTGCTCGAGATGCCATCCAAGAAGGACCTGAACGGGCTGCAATCGCAGGCCGTCGCGCACGGCCGTCGCGGAAAAAACGAGTCGAGCGCCCGGGCCCTCCCGGCTGGTCCGATGGCGCTTGGGCGAGGCCTTTGGCGAGGCCGCGCCGAAACCCCGCCCCGCCCCGCAAGCCTCGAGTCTGAGGCTGAGGCTCGAACTGCTAGGAGCATCGACGCATCCGCCACAGGATCCCGAAGAGAAGGGAGCCATTTGGGCTGGGGCGGCTCCTTGCCCTTGACAGGCGCCAGGCGCCCCTTGAAAGGCTTGGGCTTGGGCCCCTTGAAAGGAGCCGCCACCACCCTGGCAGACTTCACAGTCAAAGGCGCCAGTCCCTGGGCCTGTGCCGGACTGCCTGGAAGCCAAAGTCGCCCCCAACAGCGAACAAGTCGGGCATCTCCGCAGTCCTTGTCGTTAAGTCTGCCGACCATGACCACAGAATCGCGCGTGCGCCCAACCGTACTCGGTAATCAGTCGCTGTTTTGCGGTTCCCGACACGTTTCGAATTGCGAGTAGTACGCTTCATGCGGCCACGAGTAAGTAGTGTAACATACTGCGAAGTCGTTGTGGTTTGCCTGTTCGGATACGCTCGACTTCGAAGGCGCCGAATCAAACAACCTAGGGAGGCGCACGGGTAAGGTATGTAATCTAATCACTTTGCACAGACCTTGCTCGAAACTTTTCTTTCAGCGGAAACAGCAAAGCGACAACCACTACGACGACGGCGACAACCACGACGATAACCACAACGACAGGAAGAATAAAAATAACAAACGCCAGGACACCGTCACGCCGCCATTGACGGTCCGGTGGATTTTGCAAGGGCAGTCGTGCAGTTGACCCACCAATGCTAGCAACCATTCCGGAAAGTTTAGGGTGTGTCTGTTGACGTCCACGCGAATGTAGCATGTACAAGCTGTGCCGAAAGTCACCTGCCAAGGGTTCAAGGCTTCGCACTTGTATGGGCCTGCACTTGCTTTATTAATGTATTTAAGGTTCTTTGCAGTGCTGACTGACAAGTTGATGGTGCTAGCAGCAGCAGCAGCAGCAGCAGCAGCAGCAAAAAGACTAGCACCACGAGCGGTTCAAACGTGGTAGGATGCTCCATGGCCTGTACTGGCGTATCGGTGTGAGCATCGCCGCGCTCATGATATCGTCCTGGATCTGCAGGAGTCGGGATCACCAACGCCAGCTGCGCGCTCCGTGGTTGATCCGTAGCTCGGCCGAAGTCACCGTGGAAACCGCGTGACGTGCAGGAACTGTTTCCAGACTATAGTGCGATTGCCTTTGCAGCATTCCAGTGGCACGGTTATCCGCAACCCTCACATCTTTTGCGTGATGGGCTTACGAGTGTTTCAGGGTCTTAAGACCGGCATTTTCAGCCTGGTAGTCTGGGAGTCTGGAAGCTGTGACAGAGTTCGAATTGCAGCACATCGAAGGAGGCTCGGCCCGGTCCCAATCCCGGCATCTAGACAGGCCACGACTTTCGACGCGAGGGCCGCGAGGGTTCGCGGTTCGCGGCGAGTCTCCCTTTCCGAAGCTTAGGTAAAGCACAGGGGAGCCTTCACGACGGCCTCTCACTATCAAATTGAACAACTTTCAAGCGCATCGACGAGCCGATGAGCTGAGCGACTGGGGACTTCTACCTACCGAGGCGAGTGCCTTCCTGCCGGTCGACAAACCACCTGGGCGGAGCGTTTCTCCTGGAACTGTCAAGGCCTGAAGAAATCAAACCGTTTCTGCGTCGCAACGCTGCCATTCACATCATGGTGCTGCAAGAAACGACGGAATTCAGAATGAGTGGGTGGCTGATGGTTGGACGCTTGAACACAGTCCGACGAAGCGGCCACAGCAAGGGGCATATTGATTGGGGTGAGGAATGTCCATCGACTCGCTGCGGTGGTCGTGTGCACAGGGACGCTGCTCCCAGATCTTGCGCTCAGGGTATCCAGCCGTCGCAACCAGGTGCGACCGTCTTGATAGGCGATCACTGCTCGCTTGCCAGGTAATGCTGTAGTACCAGTTGCTGGGGGTCTGACGGTCAGCATCGACCCGCGTCCAGCATTCGAAATGGTCACACATGCGGAGCTGTATGTTCCTTCTCCCGAACTATCTGGAGTTGCAGATGATTTGGCAACAGCCTTGGTTCAGATCCACATGCAGTCCAACCTGCTGTACGTCATGGCGGTTGTGTCGAAATGTATCGATTGCTCGGGGTCTTCGACACCAACCCTTTCGCCGCGGTCGAGGTTTCTGCGCTTCGAGTGGAGTGGGACTCCGCTGCTCAATGGCCACAGCCACGGCCACAACCACAGCTACAACCACAGCTACAACCGCAACCACATCCACAACCGCCGCCACCACCGCCACCACCGCCACCACCACCAGGCACCACCACCAGGCACCACCACCAGGCACCACCACCAGGCACCACCACCAGGCACCACCACCACCACCACCACCACCACCACCACCACCACCACCACCACCAGGTCACCAATGACAAGGACGACAACAACAAAATCAACCAACGCAGGATCTCTCGATTCTCGATGCTCCAGGTCCCCGGCGGCGCAGCTGGCGGCACTGCCGATGCCTGCCGAGTGGGATGCTTGCTCACAAGATTCGGCAAAAGGCTGAAAGCACCTGGAAAGATGCGTTTGCGAAAAGGTCGCCGCCCTGCAACTGCTTGGGTCTGCGCTGCACGTGACTGGAAATCCCGACCTGTGGGGCTGTGGGCGCCGCTGGCTGGGGCGCCGCCGTTCCTCTGCATGGGCAATAGAACGCAAATTCACAAAGGCTCTCTTCCGCACTAGCGGCGTCCTACGAAGTCTCCGAAGCCATCGCCGCCCGCAGCACCTGCCGAAGCACCGCCGCCAAAGTCGGCGAAGCCGCCACCCTCGAAAGCGCCTGCGAAAGTATTGAATTTCTCGTCTCTGTTCTTGTATTGGGGAGCGCAAAAGAGGGGCGCGGACCCCATCCCTGCGCAGCGGCAGTCGCGGCAGTCGCAGGCGGCTCTGCGGGGTCGCCCATGTCTAGCAGGTTCGCCTGAAGACACACGACGCACGAGGTCTGTGAGACTTGTGGATATTGCAACAAGTGGAATCGCCGCAGCGGTACCATAGTTGTAAGTTCATTGATGCAGTTATTACGCCTGAATGACAGCGCAGCGGATTACAAAGGCTCGCTGACCTTGACTCTGCCCGTCATCTTGCCGCTTCTGACCGAAACCGGCCCCACCGACTTGACCGACTTGAGCTGTTGAGCATGCGGCTGGGGTTCCTTGAACTTGCGAGCGTTGTGCTTTGCTGCTCGTTGGGCGGCTCTTCGCTTGACAGTGTATCAATACGACGATGCCAAGCAAAACAGAGAAGGGAATCTCCTGCCTTGCGCGACGCCCGTTACTTTTGAAGAGGTTTCGAACTTTCTCGTGGAAATTAGAAGCAGCCTCATTGAGCTCGCACATCGTGGGTCCGTGTCTGTCAATGCTTCATGTGCTTTTTCAGTGAAAGAGCCTGGCCATTACTGCCTTGGATGGGCCGGAGCGCTCCCTTTCAGCAACCTTGGCAGTATATGCATGCTTCGGTGAGTGTCTGATGGCCAGATTCAAACCGAACTGGCCATCGACCGAGGATTCCTGACGGGGACACTAACGACTGCATAAGGCAGTCGACACGTGCTCGTGCTCAGCAAGTCTGTACGTGGTCCCGTGAGCTCAACGGCCGGCCCCAGATCAACGAAGTGTTTCACAGCATCGATGAGTTCACGCTACAATAGCTGGCTTGGGCACCTGTTGTTCGCACTGAGTCTTAAATTAACCCTGCTCGACTTGCCTGGAGAGCCACGAACTCTGCAGGAGTCGGCTTGGCGCATACAAGGGAAAGAGGGAAGGAGCTAACATTACCTTGGCAGTCCTGCGGAGCAGGCTTCTCGACCCGGTCTCGTTCATCCCGGTCACGGTCATCCCGATCCTGTAGACTTGCGACTTGACACGGAAAGACGATGGCACTGAGTTGAGGCCCCTTGGAGAACTGCGAGCATTCGGGCGATTAGCACTGTTCGGCCAAACTGCCGAAGGATGTCCAAGAAACGCCACGCAAAATGTAGACTCTGTAGACGAGAGTCTCGTCTGGACTCCCGACGATCGTCCTCGTCGTAACTGCGGCGGCCTTACTTTAGAGGCCAGAGCACCCACGAAAAACGAAAGGCTGTGTTGCAATGAGACCGAGTGAGACCGATGGGCTCCGACGTCCGTCACGGTCTCGCCTGGCCAATGCACAGGAACATGCAACACCTTTTTCGTGGTTTTAGTTTGTGACAGCCTGTCATCGTAGTCGTAGTCCCGACGACGACCTTTGACTTGTGGCATTGCAGCGTTGCACTACGTGACATGGAATTCATGGGCGCGGCGGCGCAGGGCTCTCAGCTCCCTGCCATCTCTGTCTCGATCATCCCGCGAATCCCGCTCATCTCGACGCCGATCGTCCTGTGACGCTCTCCGAGCCGAATGTCCGAGCTCCTCTCGGAAGGATCCTCTCGGCGGTCGTAGTCGCGGTCCCGGTGGTCCCGATCCTCTCTGCCTGGCAGAGGAAAGAGCGAAAAACAGAAAAGTATTGTATGCTCTAGCTCCCGACCACCACCATTGCTGCCATGCTGCGCCGACGGTCCCGATCGTCTCGATCGTCTCTGTCTCGATCATCACGGTCGTATCTGCGGTCGCGCCTCAGCTGCGAGCGTGGTGGTGGTGGTGGTGGGCGTGGTGGTGGTGGTGGTGGGCGTGGTGGTCGTGGTGGTGGGCGTGGTGGTCGTGGTGGTGG